TTTTTGCCCTTGCCTTATGTAATGTGCAATATTACCTCAAACTGACAGAAAAATAAATGTATAAAGCTTTTTGATTGGGCTTTTTTTTGTGTGTGTGTGTGTGTGTGTGTGTGTGGGGGGGGTCTTTAGGGCTGTGTTAAGAGCACAGTAGTGGTATTGTGATGCAGTTCAAGAAGTTGGGCTGAGACAATGCTATCGTGGCCCACTGATGAATAAGAGCATGGTGTGAGTGCTGGAAATCATCTGAGGTATCCAGAAAACAATAAAAATATATATTTTTTTAAAGTTGGTTATTTTATGTTTGATTGCCTAAACACCAGAGGAGGTTTTCCAGATTTACTGTGATCCAGCCATGTTCTTTTAAGTCATGGAGAGAGCAGAGGTCATCATCAAGAGTGAAGGGGACACAATTGCCAGTATCTACAATACTGTTCACTGATCCACTAAGATCTATTTATTTTAGAGGCTCAAGTTATTACTATTTTATTTTATTATTTTAGTCATTAACATCAGCATCTCTAAAAACAACAAACAACCAAAAAACAGTCTTTTGTTTTTCGAGATGGCAATGACTAATGTGCAAAAATCTCATTACATAATGTGAAGAATCAAATGGAAAACAGCTTCTAATTGGGAAAAAACTTGGACTTTGATTTGCTTCTACTGTCAGAGTCAGCAAAATAATAGGACTTCAGATCATCTCATTTTCAGATGAAAACCTGTCAGGAGCTGAGATATATTTAGAGCAGAAAGATGTTGAAAGAAAAGAACATAAAAGTGTCAGAGCCTGATTCCTTCTGACAAAGCTGCTGCTTATCTTGTCTTTATATTAGTCTAACAGAAGAGCAGATCTAACATCTGCACACAGCTGGTTGTTTATTGCAGAAACCTTTAGAAAATAAACTTCTACACATTCAGATTGCCGTTATAATGTGTTATGGAGGGTAAATAGAAAACTAATAAAAGTTCAAACCTAATCAAATGAAAAGCCTAGAAGAGATTGATTTCAAACTTTAATCATAGATAGGCATCAAATGATTACTTTCTGAGAGTTTTATCGAAATTATCTAGCTCATGAAATATTTTGCTAACACGACAGACAAATACAAACACACATACAGACTTTCGGCGACAGGCAGTAAACATGTTTTTTATTTATTTATGCAAATGTAACGCATGTGTCAGCATACCCGCTCCAAGTCCAGCCACAAAAGCAGCCCCCAGACAAGACATCTCCCGGTGCAGAGGTCTGACCACCTTCCTACCAAACAGGTCTGCAGTCAGCTGCATGATGAAGTCGTTTGCAGAAACACCACCATCCACCCTGAGAGGGAGAGAAAGACAATCAGTTTGCCCTGAAGATGCTTTATCGTTGCAGTAACAGAGACATGCTCCCATAATGTGTTAGACACACAACTGAACTGCAGAAGCACAGTTCATCAAAGTTCACCATTACACCCAGTGTGCTGGATAAAAGCTCATGATAAGATGTCATAAAAAACCTCTGCAATCCATCCTCTGCTAACCTTTAGGGGCCGAAGTGGCGTAAAGGTAGGGCAGCTGACTTGGAACCAGAAAGTCGCAGGTTCAACTCCCTGCCACACCCACATATCATGGTGTCTCTGTGCAAGACACCTAATCCCTAACTGCTCCCCAGGTGCTTACATAGCTGCCAGCTAGTCCACCTGGGTGTATCTTAGGTGTGATGGGTTAAATGCATCATTGTATGGAAACATACAATGATGACAATACATAGCCAAACAAAAAATGTCCCAGTAAGATCTGAAGCCCCTCCTACACCATTCCTACATGATTGTAGGAGACAGGACGAAACCCTCACCTGATCTTTGTGATTGGAATGCGAGTCTCCCTCAGCATCGTCTCATACAGCTGCTTGTTTCTGAGACCATCATTGACAGGAAAAACAAAGAATGAGGATGGAAATATAAGAATGCTGAAAAAGAAACATTTTCTTTAAAATGACTAACCTGAATGCAACAGACTCCAGAATGGCCCTGACAAGATGGTTTTTGGTTGTGGAAGGTTTAAGGCCCATTAGGGAAGCACAAGCTCTAGGGTCATTCAACGGAGCCTTTAATGAAGCATACACAAACGTGTCACCTGACAAAACTGAAACTTGAATAATGATGTTAAAAATTGTGTTGTCAAATGGTCTTTGCGTCTTTGAGAGCAGATAAAACTTGTGTGGTGACTAGGCAATATATGTGTGGACAACCCCAAGGAAAATTATTTTCTAATCACATCTTTGCAAATAAAACCAAACATGCAGGAGGGAACACTTACAAGAGCCAGCTCACAATGGAGGGCAGAGGAATAAAATAAAAAGAGACAATCATGTTACAAAACCAGGAGGAAAAAAAAAAAAAGAAAACCACGTATTGTACTGACGGAAACATTTCCAGCAAATATGCCTCGGAAAATACTAGTGAAATTAAAAAAGTTAAAATGAGTGAAATAAAGAGGAACGTAGTGTTTGTACCTGTAGACCACTGAAGGAAGGGACAAAGCACACTCCATCTGAATCACTCACACTGTACGCCATCGCACTGGTCTCTTGAACGTCAGAGAAGAGCTCTGCAACACACACATGCGCACAGTGTCAAAAGGATTATTAACGTAGTTAATTATTTCTAATGAAATTTCATAAAATGTATTCACTTGCATCCATCCACCCATTATCTTCCACTTATTCCAAAGTCGAGTCTCGGGAGCAGCAGCTTGAGCAGGGAGGCTCAGACATCTCTTTCCACAACCACCTCTTCTAACTCTTCTGGGAGGACTCCAAGGCGTTCCCAGGCCAACCGAGAGACATAGTCTCTCCAGCGTGTCCTGGATCTTAACTGGGGTCTTCTCCCAGTTGGACATGCCCAAAGCACCTCCCTAGGGATGCACCCAGGGAACATCCTTACCAGATGCCCGAACCACCTCAACTGGCTCATCTCAATGTGGAGGAGAAGCGGTTCTACTCAGTCTCTCCCGGATAACTTAACTTCTCACCCCATCTCAAAGGGAGAGTCCAGCTACCCTGCGGAGGAAATGCATTTCAACTGCCTGTTTCCACAATCTTATTCTTTTGGTCATTACCCAGAGTTTGTGACCATAGGTGAGGGTAGGAACATAGACTGACTGGTAAACAGAGAGCTTTGCTTTAGAGCTCAGCTCCCTCTTCACCAAAATGGACCAGCACTGAGTCTACAACACTGCAGATGCTGCACCAATCAGTCTGTCAATCTCACAATTCATTCTTCCCTCACCCATGAATAAAACCTCAAGATACTTGAACTCCCCCACTTGAGGCAGAACCTCACCCCCAGAAAAGAGCAATCCACCCTTTTCTGACTGAGGACCATGGCCTCAGATTTGGAGGTATCGATTCTCATTTCAGCCGCTTCACACTCGGCTGCAAACCGCTCCAGTGAGAGATGAAGATCACGGCACAATGACGACAACAGGACCACATTATCTGCAAAGAGCAGAGATGGAATTATGAGGCCACTGAACCAGAATCCCTCCGCCCCCTGGCTGCACTGAGAAATTTTGTCCATAAAAGTTATGAACAGAATGAGTGATAACGGGCAGACCTGGTGGAGTCCAACTCCCACCCTGAAGGGGTCCGATTCACAGCTGGCAATGCAAATCAAACTGTTGCACTGCTTGCATAGGGACCGAACAGCCCGTAACAACGAGCCCTCAATCCCATACTCGTAGAGCACTCCCCACAGTGTACCCCGAGGAACATGGTCGAATGTCTTCTCCAAGTCCACAAAATACTTGTAGACTGAATGGGCAAATTCCCATGACTCCTCGAGGACCCCAGTGAGGGTAAAGAGCTGGTCCAGTGTTCCACGGCCAGGACAGAACCTGCACTGGTCCGCCTGGATCTAAGGTTCATGCAATGATCAGACACGCTTCTTCGTTACCCCTGAAAAGACCTGGGGCTAAGGAGTTTTTTTTCCCTTTTGGCTGCTCCCTTCATCAGGGGTTGCCACAGTGAACTAACTCACACAAAGACTTGGCAATTGTTTGTATGCAGGATGCCCTTCCTGATGCAACCACAGACCATTGAGCTACCACAGCACTCTGAGTGGAGCAGAGAGCTGTCATCTAGGGTGCCTGTGGGAGCAGATGGTGGGTGTTAAGGACCTTGCCCAAGGACTCAAAGTTGGGCAAATGAGGGTGAGACCAATGGTGTAGTCTGCATTTTTGTAGTGGGTATACTGTGCTTAGAAACCAAAGTACACTAGTTAGTACAATGTAATCATCAATTTATTTTGATTTTTAAGCATATTGAACATTTCCAAATTTCTCTGATGCTTATATTTGAATAAATGAACAACAAACTTTGTACAACAGTTGGCTTTGTATTAAAGCATGTTATAGAATTTATAAAACAGTATCAAAGCAAAGCATGTTCAAGTATTAAGTAGTAAGTACAGAATTATACAATAATTCGCTGGATAAGCGAATGTAATAAACAAGTGCTGCATACAGATAAATTGTTACGGAAATGTTTAACTGCCATTTAACATATTAATGACACGTGCCCAATGATAAGTTATATGTCACTGGGCACTTTTAAGTGAGTATAATGAAATTCTTAAGCTTTTCTTGTGGGTATACTCCATATGCCCGCATATCTCATACACTACACCACTGGTGGAGACAGGTGTGTTTCACCTTTCCCACCCACATTTTGATGTTGTCAGTCTGGAGTCAAACCGGTGACCTTTCAATTACAGGCCCAACTTCAGGGAGGCTAAGGACAGGGATGCCCCTAAAACTGGAGCACATCCTCTGGTCCCCCTTTTCGAAGAGGGGAACCACCTGCCAAACCAGTGACATTGCCCCCAATGTCCACGCAATGTTGCGAAGGCGTGTCAACCAAGACAGCCCCACAACATCCAAAGCCTTAAGGAAATCAGGATGGATCTCATCCACCCCCAGAGCCCTTCAGCCGTGGAACATTTTAACTACCATGGCGACCTCAGCCACGGTTATGGATAGAGCAAACTTGAAGTCTCCCCACTAAGATTCCTCCATGGAAGACGTGCCGGTGGGATTGAGAAGTCCGAGAAGTATTCCTCCCACCTCACAATGACATCACTGGTTGAGGTCAACAGCACCCCACCTTCACTGAACACAGTGTTAGTAATGCACTTCTTTCCCCTCTTCAGCCGCCTGATGGTTTGCCAGAATCTCCTCGGAGTCGATGAAGAGTCTCTACTCAAGACCTCACCAAACTCCTTCCAAATCCAAGCTTTGCTGCAGACCGCTTGGGCCTCTGGTACTCCTCAACTGCCTCCGGAGTACCACCAGCCAACAAGGCCCAACAGGACTCCTACAGCTTGACAGCCTCCCTAACACAGGGTGTCCACCACCTAGTTCGTGGATGGCCAACACGAGAAGCAACGACAAGCTTGTGGTCACAGTTCAAGGCAGTCACCTCAACAACTGGGGCATGGAACATGGCCCACTCTGACTCAGTCAATGTACCCCGCCTCAGCTGGGATGCACTGAAAGCTCTCCCAGAGGTCTAAGTTGAAGATCTTTCCGATTTATTAACTTTCTTCTGTAAACAACAAAGTCCATGCTCAATAATCCAGGTATACAATCCAACATTTTTTAGTCAGGTCATCTGGACAGATGTCCTGACTGAAAAATGTTGGGTTTCTTCTGTAAAGTTCAAATGCCATTTGGGACATTAAGATCAATAAAAACAGTGCAAATTCAGTCTGTGCTAAAAGCCAGGAAGTAAAAATGTGTTTTGAAAATAGTTTGAATAATGGACAATGAAGGGTCTGGTCTGCTGGGAAGAGGGAGATCATTCCAAAGTCTTGGAACAGCAACAGAGAAAGTTCTGTCTCTTCTGACATTATATCATCTTGGCACATCCAGGAGCAGCTGATCAGCTGATCTGAGGCACCGAGCAGGAGAGTATGGGTGAAGCAGCTCAGAGAGGTAGGATGGGGCAAGACCATTTAAACTTTTAAAAACAAATAAAATAATCTTAAAATGAACTCTACAATGAACAGGCAGCCAATGGAGTGAAGCCAGAGTGGGGGTGATGTGTTCCCTCTTTTGAACTCCAGTTAGAAGCCAAGCAGCAGCATTCTGGACCAACTGGAAGACGTCTGACGGAGGACTGGCTGACTTGATAAAAAGTGTGAAGATTTCAGAGCTTGTTATCAAAAACTTTGGGAAGTTAGTATGTGACATCAAACTAAGACGAGTGTTTTGTGGTTAAAAAAAACAAAACAAAAACAACTTAAATTGATGTTTCTATTGAGCTACAGAGAATTGGAAAGAGCTGGGTTTCCCATTAGTTTTGCCAAATCCCATTGTTGTGTACGTGAATTTAATGTTTTGTTTATTTTCATGAAATGTTCCTACACTAAAAAATGTACAGCTATCAAAAGCCATAGTTCACTGTTCCTGATTGCGCCTTATGTTTTGATGCTTTTTTTTTGTGAGTCTGACTACACCTGGTGGAGGAGCGACTTATCAGAAATAATAAATAAATGAATAAATAATTGTTTTTCAAATAGTGAAAAAAATTATTAAGGTGCGTCACTATTTGTGTATTGTCTAATGAACAAAAATTAAAAAAAATTTTTTTTAAACCAATTTATTCTGTTATGTTATACCCATCAACATTAATAAAGTTGGATGAAGCTTCTCAGCTTTCTGCCGTTATTCAAAACTGAAGTCAAAATGTCTGTTTTATTGGGTGCTGCCATATTACCAGTTTATTTTGGGGCCAGAGTCTGTGCACTAGGGCTGTACAATGATATGAAAATCCCTGCCCTCCCCCACAAATACATATTTGAACATACAGCAAAAAAGAAATACTAAAATCAACTAACTTCAACACCTTGAAAAAAATTTAATTTCTGAGGTGCATTTTTATTCTTAGTCAAAAAAACATCCCGTTTACATTTACAGGTCTTTCTTGTAAATGAGTCCTCGAGGCTCAATGGGAACTAACCTGTATAAATAAAGGTTGAATGAGTTTGTCCACATGGAGGGTGAATCATTAAATGTGGACTACAGCTAGCCATTATGGGGTGTTACAACTTTGTGATTTCAATTTCTGAGTTCCAGTACCGTCTCTGTTACCGTACACCTTGTTGGTTGCATTCAGTACTCACCCAGCTTTTGAGCCCATTTGATGGCGGTGCCTGTGTCTGCTGCATTCCCCTCTGCCAGGTACACCACCTCTGAGCCCATCTTCCATCCCACAAGAGGATACAGACCTGCAGCAAGGGGAGGGGGTTCTAGAAGGTCTATATGGACAAATATGGGTAAAAATGTGTGTGTTGCTCCTAAACCTGCAACAGATGTATGTGGATTGCTCCCAGTGTTGATGTCCATGAAGGTGCCTGTTCCCATGGTGATTTTCACATCACCAACATCGAAGCAGCACTCTCCAAACATGGCTGCCTGCTGGTCCGCCATCTACAACAGAAGGTCGGGGGAATATTAGTGTGCGTGTGATAGCAGGTTTGGAAGTTTATGACAGGAAGAAAGTACCGTGCTTAAAAAGGAAAAAAAAAACCTTCTACCATCTTGTACAATGTGGACTGCGCACCAAGACAATTAAATATTTGTGTATCTTGACCGATTTGCATCTCTCCTTTAAGCTCCACGTGGAAAAACTAGTAAGGAAACTAAAGTTAAACTGGGTTTCTTTTTCAGAAACAGATCCCGTCTAACTGAATGCTAGGAAACACCTTGTATCTGTGACCTTCCTTCCCTCCATTGATTACGGTGACATTATTTACATGAACGCTCCTACAAGAACCCTGCAGATGTTGGATGCTGTCTATCATGGTGCACTAAGATTCATAACAGGCTGTAACTATCATACCCACCACTGCACCCTGTATTCACTGGTTAACTGGACATCATTAACTTCACGCAGACTCTCTCACTGGTAAATCACTTCTTGGTCTGTTGTCTTCTTACATGTCCTCCTACATGTCTCTGCATGAGTGCAGCTACAGCGTGCACTCTCAGGACATTATTACCTGCAGTGTCTCCTCACTACGGACTGAACTTGATAAAGGGCCTTCTCCAACTCCGCTCAAATTTCCTGGAATATCTTGCAAAAAGATCTGAAGCTTTCGACCTTGACCTCTTTAAGTGGCTTCAAACATCTGCTAAGTTCATGACATAAACCAATGCAGACATGTTCCCGTTTTTAGTACAGTGGTCCCTCGTTTATTGCGGGTGTTTGGGACCATGCCCACCCGCGATAAGTGAAAAACCGCAAAGTAGGTATACAGTAGTCCAAGTTCAAATTCAGTTGACGTTCAGTAAACTTTGTCATGACGTGCCAGGCTGCAATCACACTCATCACCTGTTACTCCCAATCTTCCTCCTTAAATAAACAATTTAAATTTAAATACTGTAACATTTTAAATAAACTATCCATTCAGCATGGATTGTTTATTTAAAATGTTACAGTATTTAAATTGTAGAAAAGAGAAGTGCAGCAGGACATCAAAGGATGTCACACAGCTTCAGCTCTGCAGCACAGAGCAGAAACGTACTTCTTGATCAATTACACTTCAACAACTGAACATAGAAGTTCTAAAATAATTAAAAATAACTGTTAACACTTATATTTTGTGATTATGATGATTTTTACTATGTGAAATACTTTGAATTTTAAGTTGGAAGACAAAAGTCGATCGGTGCATCTGGACAGCAAAGGGTTAACCCTTCACAAAGCTGCAGCAGGAGAAATGTGTGTGTGCACGACAGAGAAGGAGATCAGCTGATCAGCTGCAAGGGGGAGCTTTGCCTTGCACTTGTGGGCTTCACATATGGTGTAAAATCATTTAAAATAATTTATTTTAAATAAACAACGCAGCACGGTGGCGCAACTGGTAGAGCTGCTGTCTCTCAGCGAGCAGGTCCCTGGTTCAAACCCTGGTCCAGGGGCCTTTCTGGGTGGAGTTTGCATGTTCTCTCCGTACATGCGTGGGTTTTCTCCAGGTACTCCGGTTTCCTCCCACAGACCAAAAACATGCATGTTAGGCTGATTGGTAACTCTAAATTGTCCCTAGGTGTGGG